CCATCGCAGTACATCTCTTCATTTATTTTTTCTTGCTGAATTTGCCTTTGCAGCTCTTCATCAATACCACGAATTCGGCACTCAGTTTCTTTCCAAGCAGCAAATGACTCACGATGACTGTCACTATTTTCATGGTCATTTAACATTCCAAATTTTTTCCACTTAGTGAATCCACCCTGTGTTTTGAAAGCAGACTGACTATCGGATGTCATACATGTAGATGAAAAAAGAAGACAACAAAAGCAGTATGCTGCTTTATGTAGAGGTGAATACCCCAACCTCTTGTCCATTCAAAAGACGTTGTTTGAATCAAAATGCAGTCATAGAATGCCCATCTTTGGCATCAAATGGACCTTCTTTATGTTGAAATTCAAGTGCTCCAACTTTAACAATCTCTGTGTGATGTGCACGTGTTACAACTGCTGAGCCTGTTGTATCAAACTTCATAAATCCAATATCCCTGTGTGTTAAAATATTTATTAGGTCATCCTCTTTTAGCTTAGCAACACTATTCTGTGGATTTGTTTCTGACAAAGTGGAATCCTCTTGTTTATTATTATTGTAGCTTTCAACAGGACAGAGAACAGTTTCTTCATTGTTTTATTTTTCAAATGAAATAGCATGTTCACAATCTTGCACTTTGACCTCTTTGCTGTCATCAAAAGGAACAGATGCTGGCTTACTGGTGTCATCACTTACAGCAAGGAAAGCTCTCATCAATTTGCTTGACTACACCATCGAAGTTGCAAATTGTGCACGTCTTTTGCGTCCCTGTGCATACTTTCTATTTTCGACATAATGGGCTAAAAGAATAAATTAATAAATAATGACTACACTATTTAGTTGCAACATGCAAATTATCAGATCTAGATATAACCCTGTCTCATCAATTCTAGATTTAGATTTATTAGGCCTACCTTTTAGAACAAATGTTACATCTAGATCTATTAACTTAGTCACTAGAACTGGCCTAGTGCAATGCCTAGTTTAATAGTTAGTATAGGTCTAAGTATGCCTATAATATAGGCTACAATTTGTATGATGATAGACCTAGTTTCTAGAAATAAAGTTATAACTGCAATTAGACCTAAAGTCTAGTACATTAGTTGGTGTAAGACATGATTTACAATCAGCCAATACAAGTACAAACCACTACATTAGGCCTATAATGTTTACTAGATCTAGATCTTGCCTGTTGCATATATTGCCAATCTTGCACACCAGTTAATATGTTACATCAATCTCATATTTTCTTTTTGTTGAACATACACTTACTTGTACGTTGTACTCTAGGACTTGTATTTGATCTACAGATGAATGATGGAATAGTGTAATTTACTTCTGTACGTCAATTCGCTCTCACTGTATTTCAGTGGGTGGCTTTTAAAAGATAAAACTGCAAGTGTAATACACACAAATACACTGTGTCGTATTTACTTAACGTAGGGCAGTTGTGCTATATCCTAGGGGAGGGCATAATTATTAATTAATAGGCATTATAGGCCAGAGGAAATTTTGCGCCGCTCACACCTGTCTCCAGGGGCACCTGTCCCCCTTGCTATGCCACTGATGTGAAGCATAGTTCTGGAAGACATTTGTAGCCCCAATATCAAAAGAAGGTGGGAAGAATAAAAGAATCAAGTAGAGAAATATCCCAAATGTAATAGAACTAGTCCAATGCTAAAGATATCTACGATAACTGATAGAAAAGAAATGTCACTAGCATAAATGTCTTCAGGATAAGGGTTAGTACTATAACAGACAAATTCAGCTCTGCAGACTCTGAAAAGGTCACTGGGTCTGAGGGGAAAAAAATGATTTTCATCAAAAATGAAAGAAAATGGCAAACATTACTCAAATCAAGTACCCATATGATCATGATACTCACTAGAAATATCAGTATACAATGTCCCAAGTATGCCAAAATACCAGAGCTGACATGACATCTACAATTTGCCATACACATTATTTAAAAATTGCATAAATAAGTCCTCCAATTACATTATAGAAAATTTGATAGTGGTAGAAATAACTGCATCAGAAAGAATCTATTAGTAAATAGAACAGCTTGACAGTCAACAAGAAAATGTAAATTACAGTAAAAACGTGGACCTTTTGTAAAATCTCTTGACATTTGCACACTAAGTCTCATGGAAGGTGGGAAAGTAGAGAATTATGGGTGATGCATGTTCTGCAATGTGTAAAGGATATTCAAAAAAGTTTAGTTTCAAGGAGATGCTTTCCATGTTTCAGAGGTAAGTCTACTAGATTTGAGTTCAGGTTTTCTCTTCTCAAAGCATTTCCTGGCAAGCCTTCTATTATTCTGCAGTTTATACTAATCAGTTAGCATTAGAATACCACAAAGGACAGTTTCTACTAGCATTAGAATACCACAAAAATCATTCTCATGAGATAGAGCAGTAGGTGAATAGAATGTAACTACCAATGTGAGAGTGGTTGCTATTTGCTATGCTTCAGTGACCACAAATATTTTATCAGACCACAAGGAAAGCAAAGCCATTTAAATAGATCATTCCACAGGACTATTACACCTCAGTTCATATATAATCACATATCAGATAGTACTCGGTGTACTTAATCTTTTACATTTGTTTCTCACCTTGACAAAGTTGGTGTGAGTGTCATCCAGCTGGAAGCGACAAGGCATGTCCCTCAGACTAAAGCTAGGAATATTGTCGAGCTCATCTTCATTGTGGTTGCTGCTTCGAGATATTGGATGAAATTGAATTGCTGAAGTTGACGGAACAGACACACTAGTAACCATGTCTTGTGGAGGTTCAATCTAAAAATAGAAAGGTCTTTTTTTCATAATGCTTTTGCAACCTACAGCTTTCTGACTTAAAATGTTAAAAAATCAAATCGCCTACCTCATTACTTTCTTTGGCTCTTGCTAACACTTCAGAATTTTTCTTTAATCCTTCTTCTTTCAGTATCTCTCTCTGCTCAGTAACGCGTTTCTTTTCCTCCTGGCTCATTTCCTCTGACATAGTAGCACTAGGTTCTCCAATTATCTAAAAATTGGGTACATTACTCAATTTCATAATACATTCACATTTGTTAATAGTTTAATATGTAATGAGCTTCGACTTCATTGGAGATGATAAACTATACTGCTACTATCAATTCTACTAACAGAAATACTTTGAAATCAAACTATCCACAAATTTTCTTGTGAACGGCTAAAAAATATGTTTTTAAAATAAAGGACAAAATCAACAAACTTCAAAACTCCTACATTGTTCATTGATGTGAAAAAAAGACTGTCTGGGTTCAAACAACATATAAAAGAACATGTCAAGCCTAGCAGTGGTAATTCTTGAAACATTTACATGCACTTAGATAAAGATTACAATGAATTAGCTGAAAAAATTAATTTCACCCTAGCATGCAGCTCCAACAATGATAATGATGTCCATATAAAATAAATTTTTAAAATAAAAATTTAACCCTGTACTGAACCTAAATGCATCAAATTTAAATATCTTCTGAAAATGTATTTCTTCTTTCAAAGGTTTTCATCAGTATAACTTCTTCAGTGTCACCTCATAGACAGGGTTGACATCAAACCTTAGAAATGCAATGGTTCTTTTCAATATAACTCAAGTGTAACCTCATAGATAGTGCTAAATTTACAGTATCTTCTTAACAAGTTGATCCAGTATTTTCTTCCTTTTCTTGAGAATACGTTAAATTTTAACACCATTTTATGCCAATTACTGTAACAATAGGTGCTTATAGTAAATATTTCCTTTAATAAGTTGATCCAGTATTTTCTTCCTTCTCTTGAGAATATTTTAAATTCTAACACCATTCTATGCCAATTACTGTAACAATAGGTGCTTCTAGTAAATATTTCCTTAATAAGTTGATCCAGTATTCTCTTACTTGTCTTGAGAATATGTTAAATCTTAAAGTCATTCTAGGTCAACACTTACCGTAACAATGGGTGCTTCTAGTAAATATTTCCTTAATAAGTTGATCCAGTATTCTCTTCCTTTAATTGCCAATGAACTGACAAGCGGTATCTGATGGACTCTATGTTCTAACTGGATGTAATTAAATAACATATTGTTATTAAATTTTCTGAATATTTAAAAATCTAATAACTACAAACTAATACATTGATTTACCTAGTAGTGGTAGTCGTAGTTTATAATCCAAATTGTAATGTGAGTTATAATTATTTAATTTAAAAAGTAAATTTGTAAATAAAATCCAAATCTTCACTTCTCTATGTTACGTGATGCCTCTCTCTCTCTCTGAAATCTCCATTTTAGATTTTCTTTCTTCCCTTATATGGGTTTGACAATGTCCAGCAATTAGAAATACCAACTACAGACATTGACAAGCCAGATTTTAAAACAAAAACCTTCTATATTTTCTGAGATATCAATAACAGAAGCTCCTCCCAACTCTTCATGTTTTTGAAATTACTTATTTACTCATGCTGACTTGTCAATGGTACATGTTTGTAACCAACAGAAAGACTAGACTATGGGATTATTTATATTAATTTATTTTGGTAAAAGGCACCATTTCCCAACAGATTTGACTGACTACAGACTAAAGCCAGTGCTACAGTATGTAATAAAATTTTTTATAAATTATTTATAAATTAGTTAGAAGGCCATATGAATTATAGTAGATTTAGTGTATTCTGTTTTATTATTTGAATAACTGTTTACATGAATTATTTTTTGGACAACCAATACAGTATACAAAAAGTGATATTAGCAAAGTAAGTTCTGGAGTAGTAATGGTAAATGATAAGTATCTTGTTTTTATATATATCTTTTATTTATTGATATACGTTTTTTTAACAAAAGTAACTAAAATTTAAGAGTTAAAACTTATCATGTTAGATAAGAAAGAATGACAAAATAAATAAAAAACATTTTATACCTAACAGTAGCTATAGCAAAATCATTTGTAGTAGAAGATGAAAAACACAAAATAAAGTCAAAGTTAGCTATTTGTTTACTAGAATTAGTGATGCTTAACTTTCACAATTGCTTTCATTTAATCTTATTGCTCTTTTAACTGAGTCTAACTAATACAGAAAGCAATATATTGGCCATTGGGAGTGTGGAGAGTTTAGGATCAACAAAGTTTCAAGTTGCATCATGTGACATTCTAACTATGTGTGTTCCTTGTTGACTTTCAGGTTACATCATGTGACATTCTAACTATGTATGTTCCTCATTTATTACATTAGGGTCAACAAAGTTTCAGGTTACATCATGTGACATTCTATCAATGCGTGTTCCTTGTTGAGTTTCAGGTTACATTATGTGACATTCTAACTATGTATTTTCCTCGTTTATTACATTAGGGTCAACAAAGTTTCAGGTTACATCATGTGACATTCAATCAATGCGTGTTCCTCATTGATTACATAAAAAATAAAAGGTTAACATTTTCTTTCACCAAAAATGTATTTCCAAGAATATTTACCTCCCCTCACATGTTAGCTTTATCCCAACAAAAGTTTCTCTTCTCTGCCCATCTAAACATTGGTATGAACCTTACCTCACTTGCTCCAGTCTTTATACCTCACTATATTGGCCATAGCAATTTAAGTATTGTAATTCTCTCCACCTACGTCAATGCACCACTATACCAGATCCATATAAATTATTACTTCTTATTCACTTTTCAAGACGGTCCAAATTAGCAGACTAGAAACTGGACATATCATGGGGAGAAAGGGTGAGAGAGTGTGAAAGGAGGTGAGTATTATCAAAAATACATTTTCAGTATTGGAAAATGTTAACTTCTGAAACACACTTACCTCCTCTCACACTTTAGCTACAATCCTACATTGACAAGGTGGAGGGGGCAGTGAGGGTAAGATCCACACAAAAAGCATCTGCACAAAAAACTGGTGTTCAAAAATGAGATACAGTAATAGCACACTAGTGGGGTCCACACTACTTCTGGAACATGAAATCTAATTCCTGGGCAGTAAAGGCTGACCAGTCACAGAAGCAAAATCCAAACCCCAGTAGAAGAACATGAATTTGTCCAGACCCCAACCAGGCAGACGAGATCCCACATCTTGTCATTGGAATTATAGGGCTATGGGACCCAAATCGAGATCCAAAGCGTAGTGGCTAGGGCATGAGGACTGCTCTGTATTTGGTCTTGATTAGTAATGTGATAGTGCTGGAACCCAACCTAAAAGTTACAGAATATTACACGTCGAGCCACCTGAATTATGAAGAGAAAGCAAGCAACCCCAATTACGAGGAGTCGAGGACCCTCTTCCATGATCATTGACATGAAGAGCATGACCAAAAAGTAGGGCCACACTCAACTTAACTGGATAGCAAAGAGTCATCTCTGAACCAGAATTACGAGGAGGCTCCTGGGTAGGCTGGTCCTGCTCCTACTATAAATCTGGGAAAAAACATCCAGGGTTATTGGTAGGAGGGCACCCAGCTTTGCCCTCTTCTCCTTGAGTAGAATAGCGAGTTCAAGCATACTCAGGAGGAATAAACCTCTGTTCACCACTCCAGCAACTGAAAACCGGGAATGATAAGAACTCCCATGCTCCACAAGAAGAAATGGGGGGCAGGATACTGGCATTGGGGAGTCCAGAGGAATTAAGCACTTGAGATAATGCAGAAGGTGAACTACGTTCTCTGTTTTGAAAAGCAATTTGATCCTGATGTATTCAATCTAGGGGTCAGCTTTACTCATGATAGTCCATGAGTGGCAGTCCAGTAGTGTATTTGTATTTGCGTTATAATTGTTTACCAACCAGAAAGCACAGAACATGGTCTTATGGAACATCCCATCTCAACAGTTAGTTACTAGCAGGAAATTGCTATTTTTTTTTTATCGATCGACTGGTAGGTAGTGCAGATTTGGAAATAAGCATATCTGACCAGGCAACACCTGCCACAGACTGTGATCCAAATGGAAATGATGAGAGGGTCCCTGAAAAAGAATAGAAATAAACATAAAAGAAATGAAGTCATTCAACTCTCTTACAATCTAGCCTGGGGTGCCAAGAATAGCCACATGGCTAGCTGAAAATCTTCCAAGGAGGCAACTGCCAAATCATATAAATAATGAGATATAAAAGTATTAAGCATGGCCCACATACCACCTTGTACAATCTTCTCCAGTGGGCAATACACCCAGACTGCTAAGGACATCGAGATACGGCAAATTTGAAGAGACCCAAAGAAGTTGCCGTTCCTCCAATGAAAACCCAGAGTAAACAATATGCACCAATTGACAAACCTAGCCTGTTAAAGTGACAGGGGATGAGTCACATGACACCTTAGGCTCCTGATGGATAAAAAAACAGTGACGTGGCCCAAACTAGGCATAAAAGACAATCCAGATCCGAGAAATCATAAATGTGAGAAACAGAGGGAAAACGGATAGGAGAGAAAGCCTTATCCCCTTCTCTAGCTGCTGAGGTTTGGGGAAGAAAGAATCTATTGGGATACCACAAAACATAAGTGGAATGGTAAATAGTCCTATGAACATGAATAACAAACACATCCAAATGTTGACGTCTGATAGCCAATAAATAAATAAAATAAATTTTAAGCAAAAGATGACATAGAGAACATGACACCATGAGATGCAAAGGATGGATGAGATAAGACATGGATAACCACCAAGATATTCCAATTAGGAACCTGGAAAGGATGTCGAGGACAGATAATCTGAAAAGATTTCAGAAGCAAGGACAAGACTGGGGACTTAAAAACTTTACATCTTCCAGAAATACGAAAAGTAGCTAACAAAGCTGCCTTATACAGAGAAATGGACAAAGATGCCAAACCTTAGCAAAATAACCATGTCAGAAATAGAGAAACATGTGGCACAGTGGGAAGAGAGACCACTCAGGATAATTAAACTATTTCCATTGATAAACATCCAACAATGAATACCGATTGGAGCACCTGATGCCACCTGAGAGGTCAATCCCTGATGTCATGCTAGAAAATTGTGATTACTAGACGAAGAATGTCCGACTGCTAGAAGCTCTAAAAGATTGATGTGGAGAGAAGATTCTTCTTCTGTCCAGAGGCTCTTGAATTCTATCTGCTCTACACAAGCTCACCATCCCTGAAGAGAAGCATCCATGAAAAGATGTACCTCTGGACGTGGGGGCAGGAGAGGGACACACACTGTTGTGTTGTCCCTGTTTAACCACCAGCCAAGATCAAACTGGCTAGAAGCCAATAGGGTCACTGGAGAATCCAGCACATCCATGTAAATGTTCCATTGGTCTCGTAATGACCACTTAAGGGAACACATGTAGGTCCAACCCAAAGGAATGACTGATTCCGAGGGTACCCACATCCCCAAAAGAAATAGAACAGAATGCACTGGTGCAGAAAGAGATGACTATATTATAAGAATGACCCATTCCATGGCCTGAAGGCATAGAGGAGAAGGCTGGGCCTGACTGAGACATGACTTGAAAAACACACCTAAAGGGACAATGTACTATGTGGGAGTAAGAATAGATTTCTTCTTTTTTTTAATGAAAAACTCAGCTCTCGCAGCTTCAGATAAAATAGCCTGAGTGTGAAACTATGCCAAGTGGCAGGAAGTAGTGAAAGGTAGCCAGTAATCCATATAATGGTGATTGTGAATGCCCAATGAGTGAAGATGAGTAAAAGGGATCAGATTATCTGGCAAAAGATGTATAGTGCAAATGTGAGGCTGAAAGGTAGGGTGCAAAACTGAAAAACCTGTTTCTCATGCACAAAATGGGCATAATGATTGAAGACTTTGTGATATAAAGATAGGCATCGCCGACATCGAACTTTGTCATCCACAGACCTGGTGCAAAGTGCAACTGGAGGGAAAGAAATGACTCCATGGTAAACTGAGGAGGCTGGAGAAAATGATTGAGAGGAGAAAAGTTGATGACAGGTTGCCAATCACCCATCTTCTTCAGTACCACAAACAAACAGGAATAAAAACCTTTAAGAGAGGAGTTGACACATTTTATGGCCTCTTTGAGTAGAAAATCCTGGATAGCATGCACTCAGTGTCAGGATGTAAGATGATTCTTAGGTAGGGGAAAGACAACTGGTGTGATAAACAACAGAGAAGGAGATGAGAAATGAAAGATCAATCCACTCACAAGAATGACCTACTGATCGGTGGAAAATGTCTGAGTTGAGCCCCCACAAGACCAGAATCCATAGGGTAGTCACTGATGTCATTGTTGGTGCTCCACATAAGTAGAAGATGCTGCTGATGAGAGCAGAATCTCCTTTGTGTTCCGACAGAACATGGAGCCGACACTAGAGGTCTGGAAACCCAAACAGAAGATGCACGAAACCATCCAGTAGAAGACTGGGAAAGGCAAGAGGCCAGTGTCTAAAGTGGACATGGACCACATCCACCCAAGATTCTATGGAATCCAGAATACCTAAAAAAAATCGAATGTCTGAGAAAAGGAGATTTTCCAAGATCTTCTCCAAGTGATGGAAAGATAAAGCACACTGATCCAATAAACAGGGAGTGAAGCAATTGGATATTTTTCAGGGAATTTTACAATTGCTTCAGTATTTTTAATGTTCAAGAAAGAAGCTATAGAGATTTAAGTATTCTGAGTGCGATATACATACATGTAGGAATGGTGTGAGTAAAGATGCCTGTATTAAGAAATTAGGTCAAGAACTAGGCGAAGCCCAGTTAATGGGCTAGTTAGTATTGAAAATCACAAGTTAAGAGTAATAAAAAATGGAGCTACAGTGAGGATGCTGAAAAAAATGCTAGTCACGAGTTTGACAGTGATAAGTTACTGACACTGAGTTAGTAGCACTGTAGAAGCTACTAAAAAGTTTAAAAAGGCAACCAGAGCACTCACCATCACAGTAACCAATTACTTAAGAGTTTTAATTCTTGTTTTGGATTAGCCCAGGAAGTTGCACAGATTGACCAATAAAGTGTTAGAACTACTTGTGGGTTGTTAGGAATACTATTTGGAATGTCAAAAGAATACAAAGAAAATATGGTTTAAAAACTCATATCTGGATCTAAAAATCAGTCATCTCCAGGAAGAATCGAATCCTCTATGAATATGAAAGTTTCCAATCTCCAGAAGTATACTAGTCCAAATCTGTTGTAAGTATAGAACTGCTATCTCTCTTGTTCAATTAATATAGTTTCCTAAAGGAAATTAATGCTTATACTAGAGAGAAATATTCTATATTCATTGGTTAATAGTGTTAACTGAAAGGTGAAAAGTAAAGGTGTGACAAACTAACGATTTAGTACATGTTTGACTATTGATGTTAACAATGTATACTATGTGGAAAGACCTAATAAATGTTGCTGTATTTTGTTCAATGTTAGTCTTTCTTTATTCTAACTGTAAGTTACCTCAAGTTAGTGACTTGTAAGCTCCACTTGCCACTGTAATCCTCAAATAAATAAATTTGGTGTAGTCCACAGTATAATCGAAACTCCAATGATTAGCCCTAAGGGCACTGCCTGTTACAGGAGAACAAGGCATGGAAGCACCCTCTCAATTGATCAGTAAATCTCTGAGCATCCACTGCAATGTCTGCCAAAGGTGGGACGACTAGGTTATCAGCCAAATGAATTTCCTCCAACAAAGAAGGAGAAGATTCATAAGCCACAGGGGAAATGCTCAAGACATTACAAATTTGATGTACTAGGTGCAAAAACGGTGCAGAAGGCGGGATGTCCATCCAAGGCTCATGATTAGCTGTCTGAGCAAAGGAAAAAGCTTGAAAAATAGATTCTAAATTCTCACCAGTCCACCCCCAATACCCCACAAGCTCAGCCTCTGAGCCAACAGAAGAAGAAACATCAGAACTCATTTAAGACTCCACTTCTCTACGTATGAAGGATTTGACATCCTCCATGGTAAAGGAGCCTCCCCCTGTTGCCTGGACAACACTGGACTCCATAGGTGGCAGATCAGGAGCACTAGGAGACTCTGTGTCAGAGACATGAATGTGAGAATTCATATCTGAAACCTCTAAAAAACATTTTTCTTTCATTGCTGTTTAAAAATAAACAATAAACTCAAAAACCAATAAGATGGGTCGTTCAAAGTATCGGTATAACTAAAGTTATACAACACATAAGAGAAATCTGCAGCAAGCATTTAAAACCATTTGTCATAGCATTCTGCCCTCAAGAAATGTAAATAGAAAGTAATAATGGGGAGTTTATATACAGATCTGTTATAGGGGTGCACTGATGTAGGTGGAGGGGTATAAATATAGAGGGGTATAAAGACTGGAGCAAGCGAAGTAAGATTCATACCAATGCTTAGATGGGCAGAGAATAGAAACTTTCATGGGGATAAAGGTAAAGTATGAAAGGAGGTAAGTGTTTTTTGGAATATTTACTGTAAAAACTACTGATGTTCATTTAACAGATAATGGAGGTTATGGAAAGAAATTATAAAAAATTTACAATGAAAAACTTATTTTCATTCTTAACATGAAAATCACCTTGCACTCATACTAGTCAGACTCTGATTCAATAACTTCATGGACAAATCTTTATTGAAAATAAATTACTAAAACTTCTGAATTTTGTATAAGTCATACTTGTAATGTTCACTGAAAGCTTTCCAAATTTCATCAAGATACACATGGTAAATTCATAATCACTAAAATTTAACTCTCCAGTACAGGCTCAGTTCAATACACTTGACTCTGTGTACATAGGGTTAATCCAATATCCTCTAAAATAATCATATTTATATATATAAGACATATGAATACCAAAATTTGATGTTTGAAACCTTTGTTAAAATATATTTCAATACTTACATCTTCCTCTGTATTTCCATATAGAAAATCACCAATAACACCAAAGGCAATAGTTTCATGAGGGCAATATTCCACCTAATAAGAAAGGTTGTGAATATTTAGCATAAATGTTAACAATTTTCTACTGCATTAACTAACACATCCTGTTATCCAAAAGCTAGGGTGTTTTTCTCATTTCTGACATTAGATTAAACAGATTTCTAATGTGTGGTTATAATAATATAAAAATAAGGAGACACAGGCTGAAGTAACCCTTAAGTACATTCAAGCATATCTTCATACATGAAATAATATAATAAATAATATTATGAGAATGTTGTAGAATATTAATATTAGATACTGTCATACAGGGATTTATACAAGTTGCAGAATCACACACAAAGGCTGACTAGCTTATGTTTAGTAATTTATTTTTGTTATAGTTATATAAAAAATTACTAATGATAATAGTCAATAACCTTTTACATTACAAAACCATATAAATGCAGTATTCCAGGATTTGGAAATGATAAATCATACAATCACCTAATCAAAAGGCTTACAATCTAAGTTTGTGGAAGGAATTGTCACCACACAAATGAAAGAATTGGTTGGTTGGCATTTTTTGGCACAAAGCAACTATGCCATCTGTGCCAAACAACCGGTACAAGCCATAGAAGTAACATTTTTATAAATGTAAAAATAATTAGAGTTAAAACTAAACAAGATCTAAAATTCAGATAAAAGATTTAAATAGAATTAAAAAAGTCAATGGCTCATAAAAATTTAAAAATACAATCAACTTAAACAGTGTCACCATCACAAAAACACCATCCAATGTTAGGGCTAAACCCTTAGAGAACATGTGTCTAAATTGGTACCATCACTCAGAGTTGTAACAACAGCATGAACATTAAAATGTGGGCTACTGTGACTTGCATTTCACAAAGACCACACATTCATGGATCAGTACCAGATAAAATAAAACAGTGAGTTAAAAAACTGTGACCAATGCATAGCCTAGCCAGGACAACTTCCTTCTTCCGATCCTTATGGTGACAAGATGGCCAAAGAGCAACAGAAGGTTTGATCTGAAAATACTTATGATGTTGCTAACTCAAAGTCAACTGCCAAGTGGCACAAAGCTGAGCCTTCAATGTGAGGAATGAAAGTAAGTTGATGGTCAATGATAAGCCTTACAAATTTTGCCTCAGGAACTACATCACCAAGACAGAGATCTGGATTGGGGTGTAGGCCCCACTTGTGGCAAAAATTTATGTAAACAGTTTTCAAAAAAGAAAAGGTAAAACCATTTGCTGTGGTCCATTTCAGAAAGCAATTTAGGGAAGTCTGAAGCTGTGGCTCAATAAATCTCATGTTTAACAACCAACAGGAGATGTGGAAGTCATCGACATAGAGCCCATTTGCAACAGTAGGAGGAACTTGTGTAGTTACAGCATTAATCTTGATACTAAAAAGTGTGACACTCAAACAACCCTGAGGGTCTCCAAGTTCCTGTGTAAAAGAACAGGAAAGAGTCGAACACACAAGAACTCCTCATCAGTGACCCTGGACACTACCCCCAATGAAATATCTTCAAATACCTATAGAATGATAGGTTTCTATTTAGTGAATGTAAAACACGTAAATACACCAGTTTGATTTACTGAAGCTATTCTCACAGCTTAGGATTAATCTGTCTAAAAGTGCTAAAGCTATTCTCACAACTTGGGACAAATCTGTTTAAAAGTACTAAAGCTATTCTCACAACTTGGGACAAATCTGTTTAAAAGTACTAAAGCTATTCTCACAGCTTGGGACAAATCTGTTTAAAAGTACTAAAGCTATTCTCACAGCTTGGGACAAATCTGTTTAAAAGTACTAAAGCTATTCTCACAGCTTGGGACAAACCTGTTTAAAAGTACTAAAGCTATTCTCACAGCTTGGGACAAATCTGTTTAAAAGTAGCTAAAGCTATTCTCACAACCAAATTCTCTCAGTTAGTTACCAGTTGGAGAAAAATACAGCAAAGTTAAATGTTAGCTTCTAAAACTACTACAAGTTCAGAAAGACTGTATTAAGCATTACGTGATGGCAATCACTATGTGATGGTGGATTATAACACTACCTAGTTGTTTCTCGTTCTATAAACTAGAACATAACTAGTTATATACAGAATAACACAAACATATAGGACGTAAAACAACTAAAAATAAACTGCAGCATCATTAGAAGCTGTAGAAAGATGGTAAAACTAAAAGCTTCTAGTAGTGTTACAAAATACAGTTAAATGAACGATGGTAAAACTAAATAACTGTATTTTGTAACACTACTAGAAGCTAATGAATGATGGTAAAACTAAATAACTGTATTTTGTAACACTACTAGAAGCTAATGAACGATGGTAAAACTAAATAACTGTATTTTGTAACACTACTAGAAGCTAATGAACGATGGTAAAACTAAATAACTGTATTTTGTAACACTACTAGAAGCTGTAGAAAGATGGTAAAACTAAATAACTGTATTTTGTAACACTACTAGAAGCTAATGAACGATGGTAAAACTGAATGATGATAAACTAGAGCACCAGTTCAAGTAGCAGACAGAACATAAAACTGAATGGTACTTGGTAGACTATAACATTACAGAAGATATGGTAAACCATGTTTTACATAGTAACAGGTCAAAGCAATGTTTACATCATAGAAATGTTGGTAAAGAGGCTAAATATATAAAACAAATACATTAATATACTTGAAGAAAGACAATCATAAAATGGACATGCTAAACAGTAACCTTGTTTTCACTAACCTTTCGTAACAGGCTTAGCTTAGTCCTATGAATCACAGTGGCCATTCTCTCCATGTCTAATGCTTCACTTCCACTGCTAAGGCCATGCAAAACTTCCAAGAGCCTAAATGCATAAAACAGAAAATAAGAAAAAACAATGAATGTATTTTAAACCACACTAAGAAGTACTAAAAAGACCTAAGAAATGAAAAGTTGGCATGCTTTTGGAAGTTATTACTCTATGCCAAGTGGAAATAGAACATTGATATTGTAGGAAATAAATATATACATGCAGAGGTGAGTAGAAACCTTTACAATATAAACAACTGATTACAGATAATTAATATTTGAATATTGCTTTCATCTTGTCTATATTTTGGACCCAAAATACAGAGGTCAAGAATATGAAAGAGGAGTGAACTGAAGCCATGGACATGTCCATGAAGGTAGCTAACCACATTCTCAGAGTGGATCCAGTGGTTGTTTCACATGATATGGCTGAATACAGAGTTGGACATAAATAATAAACCAGGGAAGTTATATATAAGTCAGCTTGAAGATTATTACTTCACCTTTTGAATGATGAACTTTGTGTGTTCAATAATTACTAAAAACTGTTATGTCAGTTTAAACTAACCACCTTCCGCAGCTACTTACAAACACAACTAGAATGCATTCAGTAATGTAAATACATGTTATTATGTCTTATAATCTCCAACTTGAAGTTGAGTAATGGATTGTGGCAAAAACAGGGAACAATATGGGTTAAGAATGAAGTACAAAATAAAGCAACTGCAAGTAGTAACAAGACTAGAGCCAGCAAAAGAGAGTAAGAAAAAATTATTGAAGATGATTAATTAAGACAGTATTCTGAGTGACACTAGAAACAGACAGTAAGTAGTGATTCAGTGACTTATTTAACCCTATGTGCATGGGGTCAGTCCACTGGACCAAACTGTACTGGAAAATTAATGTTTACCGTAAATTCTATTATCCCGAATTTACTTAATATAACTTCACAAAATTAGGTAAGTTTTAGTAAATATTACAATTATGTTATACACAAAAAGTCAGAATGTTTGATAAAGTATTTCTGAAAAAAAGATTTGTCTCTGAATTCTAAACTAACTTTAGTCAGTCTGACAAGTCTGAGTGAAAGATGATTTTCATGTTAAGAATAAAAATACCTCCTAAATGAATATAAAAGTTTTTTTAGGTAAAACTTTATATCTCATCTGTTATTTTCTCTACCCTAATACTCTAAGTGTTCAGTTTATTTAACCAGCCTTGTAACCACTACAAAAAAATATGAAATAAATCTTTTTTCTTCCTACAATGACTGCTGACTGTAACAGAAAATAACAATTATTTATCCTGACCAGCCTCAGGCTTATAACGATTTACATATGTTTTCACTTAACTTGATTGTTTTATTGCATTTTGAACCATGTCTAACTACCATAAATAGCAAGATATCACACAGCATGAGAATGGAGAGTTTGGGGTAAACAAACTTTCAAGTTACATCACAGGAGCTAATTAGGCATGTTCCTCACATTCCTCAAGTCAAAACGTTTTCTATTTTTTTTACCTTACCTAATAACTAATTATTTTTGTGATAAAATATTTCAACAAATAAAAATATACATAAGAGAAATAAATGTAGTGCTTACTTTATGACTGAATCCTTTTGCTCTTTGAAGCCAGCCTTCATTAACCCTCAATGTTTCTCACTAAGTTGGTTGTCCAAAACACAATTCATGTAGCTTTCAAATTTTAAAACAATAATTCAAACCATAAAACAGAATGTCCCAGAACTACTATGATTTATCTGGCACTTTTTAACTGACATATAAATAGGTTGTAAAATATTTCATTACTTACAGAAGCACTATCTGCTTGGAAAATGGTGCTTTTTAATAAATTAACATGAAGATATTAAAATCATATAGTCCACAAACTGACCTTTCTATTGGTAACAAACAGGTACCATTGTTAAATAAGCATGAAACACTAAATATTTCAAAAGCATGAAGAGTTGGAAGGAGCTTCTATTGTAAATGTAACAAATTTATTGATATCTCAGAAAATAAAGGTGGGAGGTTCTTATTTTAGATTTTAGCCAGTAAGTATCTATTGTTGGTGTTTATAATTGGTGGAAGCTCATATAAAGGAAGAAAAAAAATCTTAAAAGGAGAATTCTGAGCAGAGAGGTATCACGTGACACAAAGAAGTGAAGACTGAGAAATTATTTATATATTTCCTTTGTAAATTAAGAAGTCAAACTTACATAATATTAAAATTTGTATTATAGACTATTTTAGATGCCAAGTTTTTGAAATACACTGATAATAAAGTTGTTTAATTAAATTTTGAATGTAACTCCATAAAAGTCATAACATACACACTTTAACTCCCACTTATTCATATAGTGTTCATAAATGTTACCAGTACTAAATATTTAACTTTTTTTGACATTACATATAAACCAGCAATAGCTTTTATGAATTGACCTGCTAAAAAATCAAAAGGCACCCAAATTATGAAAACCAAAAATCTGTATAAAAATATTAAGAATATAATTAACATCTCTACTAATTATATTCACAGCATAACATGCTTATCAATTATAGATAATTAACATATCTACTAATTATATTTACAGCATAACATGCTTATCAATTAATCTTTTGTCAGATACAAGCAAAGAATATTATGAATATAGAAATGTTATATATGTGAAAAAATAAAACAAATTAATAATCTTCTGAGATACAGAAAAATGTATATAAATCTTTAATTTTTTAATAATCTTATAGATAATATATGTGGTCTGAATAATCTATCACTTTAAAAAATAAAAAACTGAATCCACATGTACATATATATACTACCTAATACATTGGATAAGTACTCTGAAACTGTTTTTCTATTCCTGCTATTTACAAATGAACATTTTACTGTTGAAAATAAAACAAAATGGGCACATGTTAAAAATTACATGTCACATTAATAATAATTCATTAGCTAAGAAGTCTAAAACCAGCATACAGTTACTTTTCAAAATACATTTAACCATATGACCTCAATCAATAACATGTACATCAAATGTTGTGTTACTTTTGTTATATTAGAATATTTTTTACAGTGGTGGAAAAATATATTGCATTACTCAATTTGTTCACACTTTTCTTTGGAAACATTGTTTGTTTTGAGGCTCTAATGCATGTAGGTGCAAATGATTTTCATGGATGATGCAATACAGCCTAATTTTTACATCAGTAGCTCTATAGGTCATCTGGGTATTGCATCAGTAATTTTTTGGCTACAAATAGAGGTTCTTACTGAGAGTCAGTTTAGAAGCCTATCTGCTACAATGTGCATGTCATGCTACCATGGCAAAGGGTTGCAACTTGTTAACTCTACAAGAGAAAAAAGTCCTTGTTTCTTTAAGCAAAGAGAGACTTTCAACAGATGTGATCTGCTGGGTGCAAAAATATAGAGATTGGTTGTGTGGAGTGGTGGAAATGAAGGTGTAGGAAGAAAATTTCCACGGCAGCTGACGATCATGTTCTAAGCTACAGAATCCTGCAGAATCATTGACTGTTATTCACAAACCTCAAAAGAGTATGGCAGGAAACTTCAGGGGTTACTGTCACCTCGTGCACTGTCCAGTCTTGACTGTGTTCAACCAGTCTCTCAGCAAGACTGCCAAGAAAGGAACCCCTTCTGATCGACACGATTAAGAAGATGAGGCTCAAAGATTGAAGCAATGTGGAGCAAAATGATCTTCTCATATGAATCAAAGTACAACCCACACAGGTCTGATGAGAATCACTTTGTAAAACGTCAACATGGTGAAGTTTCATTCAGCATCTTTAAATCAACTGTGAAGCATCCACAGGGTCTGGTGACATGGTGATGCATCTCTGGCTAGGGAATGGAACACCTGCATTTTATGAAAGGCACCATTAATGCCAACAAGTAGATCAAGATCCTCGAGTCCCCAGTTAAAGACAACAATTCAGGAACACTTTGGCAGAGCTGACCAGTGAACATTTCAGGATGACTCTGCTCCATGTCACAGAGCTAAACATGTTGGTAATATTCATGCACTTAAGATGTCAGTAGATGTGAAATGAAGAGGAAATTTCACTCTATATGTATTGAAAAGACATTTTAGGTTGTTTTATTGCCTTGCTTCAGGTGAAGAACTATTTTTGAAAGACAGAATCAAGACACTACACTGGACAGGTAACAGCCCACATCTCAACCCTATCAAAAACTACTGGACGGTAACTGGTATCAAAGTGCAAGAGAAGAAACTGAGAAACACCTTGGAATTGTAGGAAGCCCTAAACCACATGTGGCATCATGAACTCACCCCTGCCTACATTCAGTTAATCTTGCATTGTATGTCACAGTGATGCCGAATGGTTATCAAAGCCATAGAGAGCATAACCAAATATCACAATAAGAAACAGACTGTGTGACCATTTTTTGTCAATCACATTAATGGTGTTATCTTTCAAACTAGGTTTTCTTACTCAGAGAACATTCTGGCATTTGCCAAGTATTTGCTGTGATACAATTGTCATGGTTGGTTTGTTAATATAGATGCATATGTGTGTTTGAATGACTGAAATATGAATCAGCTTATACCACACAATGTCCATAACCCTTTTATGCTAGTTAAGACACTTCCACAATGTACAATCTCAAAAAAAAATTACAGGAGTCAACAAAAGTGTTAAAAAAATTGGCTAATGAAATAATATTTTCCACCACTGTATTGACAAGCACATCAAGTGAATGGTCACATACCTGGTTTTTACATGATGGAGTTTTTCTTTTTTTCCATTCTCAAAATCCAAAACTATAGAAGATTCAGAATTTTCTATAATGGAAAAACTAACCTATGGATTAAAATGGAGACAGTTAACAGAAATCATGCAGTAAGTGCAAAACCCTTCGTAATATGAAGAAATCTAACTATTCTATGTAACTGTTGTGTATAGGTAATGATAAGATTGAAAAAAAACAACAACAAATAAAGGTTAGACACCTTCATTTACACAAGGATCATGGAATTTATATCTCTCTTGACACGAGCTCAGTCAAACTGACCAACATGTGCCCATTCTGTACTTGTTTAAGGTCTTTATAGTTTTCATACTACTAACTTTTAATATAGTATGTATATCGTCACATACTTAAAATCTGATTTTTTTAGTGAAGTATTTTCAATAGACTAAAAAAGATTTGTCCATGAATATATCAAGTTTTTTGTGTGACTAGTCCGAGTGCAAAGTGATTTTCATGTTAAGATTAAAATACTTTTCATCACAAAAATCTCAAATATCATTTGTGTAAGCTCTAAAACCTCCCAAATATATTTCAAACGATTATTTTCAGTAAAACTTTATATTTTATCTGTTATTTTCTCTACCCTAACTTTATACAAGGTTGGTCAATTTGACTGTTAACACATCCTGAAAGAGAGGATGTGACAGATGGGTGTGGCAAGATGATTTTCTATTTGATGGCTCTCTAAATTTAAGTTAGGGTTAAAAGTTGTAAATTGAAATACCTGCCAAGTTAAAAGGCAAGTTGTACAGATGATTCAGTATATTATGTTAAAGTGATTTTGAATAAGCAAACTCACAAATTAAATGACAGTAACAGCTGATATAAATTCAAAGTGAAATGACATGATTATGAACTACAGTTCAAGATTGTTTAGTGTTTCCTAAGTTGTGTGATGCCACCAAAACTGCTTTTGGGAATGGTATGGAACAACCTTTTCAAACACAAAACATTCATTCATTCAGACCATAAAGATGTGTATGGATAAATCTTGTATTTAATGGAACTTGGAAACAAAGAATATGGATTGACTTGTGGAAAAGACCATCCACAAAGAGACCTGCAGGCAGCAACAAGTCACACACCAGCTGTGGTAGGCATGAATAGAAAGGTTAGTGGAAAAAATCATCCATTTGTCCTAGGCAATAATATGCAACATAATCAAAAAGAACCTCTGCCTGAACACAAGTATGCAGAGGTTGATTCCAAAGAATCTATTCAATCATCGCATCACCTAAGCAGATGGAAAATGAAATGTGTATTTCATACAAAGACATACTAGTCCACCAACCAGATGCAGCACCTATAGATTTAATATGAAAATAGATATAGTAAGACATTAGCTAATAAACAATGGAGATTAGGTATATCAAGAATGTTCTGAATAATAAGATACAGTAAGAAAGTACACAAAGAAAATAGGAGCTTAAGTAGAATAGGGATGTTTTACATGATAATGGATACGGTAAGACACTACACAATGAAAAGAGGAGCTTAAGTACAATAAGGATGTTTTATATGATAATGGATACGGTAAGACACTACACAAAGAAAAGAGAAGCTTAAGTACAATAGGGATGTTTTACATGATAATGGGTACAGTAAAACACTACACAAAGAAAAGAGGAGCTTAAGTACAATAAGGATGTTTTACATGATAATGAATACAGTAAGACACTACACAAAGAAAAGAGGAGCTTAAGTACAATAAGGATGTTTTACATGATAATGAATACAGTAAGACACTACACAAAGAAAAGAGGAGCTTAAGTACAATAAGGATGTTTTACATGATAATGGACACAGTATGACACTACACAAAGAAAATAAGAGCTTAAGTACAATAAGGATGTTTTGTATGATAATGTACAGTAAAACACTACATACCAGGGATGTGTTAATAATAAATTTGCCAAACTAGAGATAAAATTTTTTAAGCTTTTATAGTTTTCACTTTCTTGTTTCAATACTTTTTGTAGCATTAAAACTTCATATATCATTACAGGTAGCTAGGTTATGTACATATCGATCCCTATTTGTCTTTATAAATCTTTTATTATACTTGTTTGTTTCCTCTTTATTAGCTATATTTTTGTGCACCAGCAACAACAAGCACTGGGCACGCATATACCTGATTTTATTTTATTACTCATCAGGATCTCTACCAATGTACCCTAAAATCCAATTATATGCCTAAAGTAGTGCATCATTCATTTTATATATAAATATACACACACACTAATATCCTTTTTTGGTAAAAGAAAGGAATCATTGGGACCATAGAAGGAAGAGGGATAAGGTTTGTCATTTTTCCTGTATGCTTGTCTGGAAAAGTCATTTACTTACTTAGATGAAAATTTGTTGAAATTGTGAAATTTTGATATTAATATTCAGACATTTTAAAGGTGGTTTTAAATAGACAATTTTTATGGCTGCTATTTTGTTTCATCACAATCCCTACTATTAAGTACTACTGTATTTAATGATAATGGATACAGTAAGATATTACATACCTAACAGAGAAACTTAAGTATAAGTAGTGTTTTACAAATAACAAATACAGCATTCATTTTAAAAAGTGTTTCAACAAAGAAGTTATCAAAAATAACTATTAAATTCTACTACAGTATGTTACATAACTACTCTTTACATTCAAGGTGTTAATGAGAAACTTTCTAGAACTTTCAACTCTACTGGTATTAAAGTGTTATATAAACATGGAATATTGTTTGAATGGTGTATTTTGTTCTTTGTGATGTGTGTTTTTACTGCATTTTACATATGATACATGATGAATGAAAGTTGTTTCTATAAAACATAAATACGCGCTTGATTACTGAACAGATAAAAACTATTGTACTACCATATTAACTATCAAACTTCAGTACATCAAAAAACTCTAAGTTATTCAAACACTTATATTAAAAACACTTACAGAACTACAATAAGGATCAGGAGTTTCTACAAATTCTCGCTGTAGTGGTGAAACTGAAGTTTCTGTTAGATATTTCAACAGGATTGAAATGGCAGTTATTTCATCGAAGTTCTGTAATATGAAGCATGCATATTAGAAGATAAATATATGAAAAAGAAAGATGTAAAACTCTTTTACAAAAAATAATACACTCTTTCCAGAAGTCAAAACAAACATAGTTTAATAGCTTTAACATTTATAATGAAAAAGATACAAAAGTCATTTAGTTAACAACAGAATTAGGAGAAACATGCACGAACAATACTTGTTTGTGTTTTTTTGTCATGTAATTACTCAAAGGGAAGAACAAAATCTTGACAATTGAAATAAGAAACCATGGTGTAGTTTTATAAAAAACATGAGCCACATGGCTCAAGATTAAAAAATTCAAGCCTCATGAACTGTCCACAACTCAAGCACACTGATATAGACACACAAAAACAAAGAGAGAGAGTCTCAATACATTTTCCACAGGTGCCAACATAGCCAGCTGCAAATGACCAATGCCAGTCTGATCTAAGAGTAAACAAAACTGTTAAAATTTTTTTGCCTTTAAATGAAATATTACAAAAAAAGATTTTTATAGATGACTTCTTTGAGATATCTAGAAACAACTACACTGTTTAGCAGAGAGACTCTGAATCAGCCACTGAAGCATGAAGGATATAGGTTATGCAGGAAAAGTTGATAGAAAAGCACAGTGAGTCCAAAAAAAACATAATGAAGGAAGCTGGAGTAGAATGAGTTTCTTTCTTGAAAAACATCATTTGGAAACTAGAAGTAAAAATATAAAGGCTCAAAGAAAAAGACAAGAAAATTTTGCATTAAAATTATAGGGTCAAAAAAATGACTGAATATGAAGAAGGAAACTAAAGTATGACAGATTACAAACTACTGGCTAATAAGCATCTAGAAAGTCAGTTCCACTGAAACTAAAGTATGACAGATTACAAACTACTGGCTAATAAGCATCTAGAAAGTCAGTTCCACTGAAACTAAAGTATGACAGATTACAAACTACTGGCTAATAACCATCTAGAAAGTCAGTTCCACCAAAACTAAAGTATGACAGATTACAAACTACTGGCTAATAAGCATCTAGAAAGTCAGTTCCACCGAAACTAAAGTATGACAGATTACAAACTACTGGCTAATAAGCATCTAGAAAGTCAATTTCACTTCCCAA